AACCTTCCTAATGCCGCGACCCTTTAATACAGTTCCTCGTGTTGTGGCGACCCCCAGCCACAAAATTATGTTCGTTACTTCTTCACAACTGGGGAGTATATGTGTTTTCAGATGGTCTTCGGCGACCCCTCGAAAAGGGTTGTGCGACCCCCAAAGGGGTCGCGACCCACAAGGTTGAGAACCACTGTACTACGCGAACCTTACATCAGTGAACATTGCTAGTAGTAGTCCCATGAGCCGCCTATCAGTAAAGACAGTTAATCCTATGTACCACCTATCACTAAGGACAGCTACTCCCAAGTAATACCTAACACTAAGGACAGCTACTCCCAAGTACCACCTAACACTAAGGACAGCTACTCCCAAGTACCACCTAACACTAAGGACAGTTACTCCCAAGTACCACCTAACACTAAGGACAGCTACTCCAAAGTACCACCTAACACTAAGGACAGTTACTCCTGAGCACCACCTATCACTAAGGACAGTTAGTCCCAAGTAACACCTAACACTAAGGACAGTTACTCCCAAGTAACACCTAACACTAAGGTCAGTTACTCCTGTGCACCACCTATCAGAAAGGACAGTTACTCCCAAGTAACACCTAACACTAAGGACAGTTACTCCCAAGTAACACCTAACACTAAGGTCAGTTACTCCTGTGCACCACCTATCAGAACGGACAGTTACTCCCAAGTAACACCTAACACTAAGGACAGTTACTCCCAAGTAACAGGTAACACTAAGGACAGTTACTCCCAAGTAACACCTAACACTAAGGACAGTTACTCCTGTGCACCGCCATTCAGAAAGGACAGTTACTCCCAAGTAATACCTAACACTAAGGACAGTTACTCCCAAGTAACACCTAACACTAAGGACAGTTACTCGGAAGTAACACCTAACACTAAGGACAGTTACTCCCGTGCACCACCTATCACTAAGGACAGTTACTCCCAAGTAACACCTAGCACTAAGGACAGTCACTCGGAAGTAACACCTATCACTAAGGACAGTTACTCCCGTGCACCACCTATCACTAAGGACAGTCACTTCCATGTAACTCATATGTGAGGAGAGTCGCCCCAGCTGCATTGCTCAGTGCTCTTTCATTCAGTTATATATTGTTGAGCTCGCCACATATACGATGCCATACATGAACCAATACTTACTCAACGTTCGTGCAAGTGACACCGATCCCTGCAGACAACAAGGCGGCTGTGATACCAGTCAATAATGTGAAGTTGAGTTCACCCAGTATGTACCAACGCTGGACGGCGTACGCGAAGAAGGCTGATCTGTAAAGTGTGAGAATAAAACATAATATCTGTTATAGTGGTGTCTAAGTGTAGTGGTGTCTTGGTGAGCAGTGGTGTCTTGGTGTAGTGGTGCATTAGTGTAATGGTGTCTTAGTGTAGTGGTGTCTTGGTGTGTAGTGGTGTCTTGGTGTAGTGGTGTCTTGCTGTAGTGGTGTCTTGGTATAGTGGTGTCTTGGTGTAGTGCTGTATTTATATTTGGTAAAAAAAAAGAAACAACGAAACTAAGAGCCTTGGAAGACTTTTAAATCAGTGATTGGAAAGTGAAGATCCACAGGGGAGACTATTTGGGGATTTCATAAGAGGACATGATAAAAGTTGTCTTCCATTCAGAGTTAAAAATAAGATATGAGTATAAGCAAAGCATGAAACATTAAAATGTGACGGAGAAAGTTAGGTAAACTAATAATCTGATTCTTGATTAAATCCCAATGCACGTGACTAAATCCAAAACGAGACCGACTTACTCTGGTCTGAGTTTGCCGAGATGGAGCAATGTTGATGGCACCAGTCTAAACGTGCAGTATATCAGCTGGAACAGAATGGTCACCACAAGCGTCAGGTCACAGATGGCTTTGTTCCACTCCTTAGTTTGAAAGGCCGGGCATGAGCCGGCTTTTCCCTGTACAAAATTTGTTTTCCTAATGTGACTTAACAGTGACTTGTATTGACTTACAAAACTAAGGGATACTGAAACAGATCCTGGTTTATAGCAATGAAGGGAAAATAAGAATAGATCTCAGGCTGTATATTGCCTGGATGAATGAATCTGTTGGTGTGTATCGCCCGAATGAAGGAATCTGTTGTTGTTTATTGCCAGAATGAATGAATATGTTGTTGTTTATTGCCAGAATGAATTAATCTGTTGGTGTGTATAGCCTGAATGAATGAATCTGTTGTTGTTTATTGCCAGAATGAATGAATCTGTTGGTGTGTATCGCCCGAATGAAGGAATCTGTTGTTGTTTATTGCCAGAATGAATAAATATGTTGTTGTTTATTGCCCGAATGAAGGAATCTGTTGGTGTGTATAGCCTGAATGAATGAATCTGTTGGTGTGTATCGCCCGAATGAAGGAATCTGTTGGTGTGTATCGCCCAAATGAATGAATCTGTTGTTGTTTATTGCCAGAATGAATGAATCTGTTGTTGTTTATTGCCAGAATGAATGAATCTGTTGGTGTGTATCGCCCAAATGAATGACTCTGTTGTTGTTTATTGCCAGAATGAATGAATCTGTTGGTGGATATTGCCTGAATGAATGACTCTGTTGGTGGATTTTTCTTGAATTAAGGAATCTGTGGGTGGATATTGCTTTAAAGAATAAATATGGGGGTGCAAACCTGTCCTTTGATTAGTGGTGTATGCGCTACCTGTCATTATTATATGATTAGGGCATGTGCTGCCTGTCATTGGTATGTGATACGGGGGCCTGTGTTACCTGTCATTGGTATGTTATACGGGGTATGTGTTACCTGTCATTGGTATGTGATACGGGGGTATGCGTTACCTGTCATTTATATGTTATACGGGGGTATGTGTTACCTGTCATTGGCATGTGATTACGGAGGTACGCGTTACCTGTCATTGGTATGTTATACGGGGGTATGTGTTACCTGTCATTGGTATGTGATACGGGGGTATGTGCTACCTGTCATTGGTATGTCATAAGGGTATGTGCTACCTGTCATTGCTAGATGATGTGGGGTGTGTGCTACCTGTTATTGCTACAAGATATGGGATATGTGCTACCTGTCATTGCTACATGAAGTGGGGTGCGTGCTGCCTAACTGTAATTGCTACATGATGTGGGGTGTGTGCTACCTTACTGTCATAACTACATGATGGGAGGTGCGTGCTACCTTATTGTCATTGCTACATGATGTGGGGTGCGTGCTACCGTACTGTCATTGCTACATCATGTGGGCTGTGCTTCCTGTCATTGCTACATGATGTGGAGGGGGTGTGCTTCCTGTCATTGCTACATGATGTGTAGTGTGCAACCTTACTGTCATTGTTACATGATGTGGGGTGCGTGCTACCTTATTGTCATTGCTACATGATGTGGGATATGTGCTACCTTATTGTCATTGCTACATGATGTGGGGTGCGTGCTACCTTACTGTCATTGCTACATGATGTGGGATATGTGCTACCTTACTGTCATTGTTACATGATGTGGGGTGTGTGCTACCTTACTGTCATTGCTACATGATGTGGGGTGTGTGCTACCTTACTGTCATTGCTACATGATGTGGAGGGGTGTGCTACCTGACTGTCATTGCTACATGATGTGGGGTGTGTGCTACGTTACTGTCATTGCTACATGATGTGGAGGGGGTGTGCTACCTTACTGTCATTGCGCCAACTCCTGAAAATATGAAGAAACTGAAAAGAACCAAAGAGGCCAACAGAAACAGCCGGATCAAACTCAGTTGTGTGCCCTTGATTTCCATCATTTGTATCTCAAGATGGCGGCCGCGGCAAGACTCTTCCTAACAAGAGGCACTGTCCTGCAAACTAAACTTATTCTGCACACCATAACATTAGAACTACGTTGTAAAACATATCGACTAGCACATGCGCAATCCAACCACGCCAAATGTAATGAGAAGGAATGCTTGATATCCTTCCCTTTGTCCAACACACAAAAAGAAAGTAACTCAAAGTGATTAACTTCTCTTTGTCACAAGTTAATTTGCTCCGAAAAACTTCTTTCTCTAGCACTTTTTTTTTTATGTGTCTTCTAATGCTATCTTATTTTGTCAAGTGATCATTTTGGTATCTGAAATGATAAAGGTCATTTTCTCATTTCCAATCTAAAACATTTAACACATTGATAATAAATCCTGATTAAATGTTTAAGCTCAAAAGCGACAGGTTACAAGGATTCTCAACGTCCCCCCCCCCCCAAAAAAAAAATAAAAAGGCCCTCTAGAACAGTGTCCCCAAATGGTGGCCCCGGCGGTTCACCGGCCCGCGAGCCCTCCGTTTCCGCTTCTCAAAACATTTAAGCTCAAAAGCGACAGGTTACAAGGATTCTCAACGTCCCCCCCCCCCAAAAAAAAAATACAAAGGCCCTCTAGTACAGTGTCCCCAAATGGTGGCCCCGGCGGTTCACCGGTCCGCGAGACCTACGTTTCCGGTTCTCAAAACATGAATATTTATGGTCAAATAAAATAAAACTATATACTGAATAAATCTGGAACTGGTCTCTGGTACAGTTTCAAAACTCATGACCGGTCCGCCAACCGTTAAAGTTTGGGAACCGCTGCAGTCTAATGTTTGTCTAATTTGTTACAAATATTTGAACAGTTTTTTTTTTTTAGGTAGTGCTCCACATCAACTTTTTAAAATTAATTTTATGTTACGTGTATGACGTCATACGTCATAAACAGTTCCTCCGTTTTCCTAGTCTCATCATAAAATGACGTCACACGCCCCTCAAATGCGTGATTTAGTGTTTGAATGCCCCCAAAATATAGACCCATCTCTCTGCTCTTCGTGTCTTCATTCATTATATATTAGTTTAACCAGTAAGAGAAAAGGTTGTGACACACTTCTCAGGGATTAAATNCGCCGTACACATAAACAATGTCATATCAGAGCACTAGTGATAAGTAGCGCCAATCTCTGATTTTGGTGGCCCTGGGCTTGCAGGGAGATAACCCTTTTTTTTTTTTTTTAAGTATGACATGATGACACATGTGTAGTTGTAGGACTTTGGGCTCAAATAATACCAGATAGTCACCCACAGACGTTTCAGTGATCTTTCTTGTTACGATGACAACTGACGTGCTGATGATTGTTGCAGTGTTCTCTACCATTAGACGCTGAATCGATCACTTGATGTACACGCATGACGGCAAAAGGATTGTTTGGTGGTGCTCCTCTGTCATTCTTTCCCTTATGAAATTAAATGTGGATACGAGTTGAACACAAAAAGGAAAACAAGTTAGGTGGTACATCCAAAAGATGGCGCTCAGCGGACGCCTGACTGTACCGGTACTCATCAAGATACGATGTGGGCTGTACGCTTGTCTTATTTTCTTCAGCTTCTTCATCTTTGCCGGAGTCGGCTCCATGATGGTAAATAATGGCAGCGTTTATCAATAGATAGAAATAGTTGAACGTGTTTATAATTGATGGAATCATTAGTGGTGGTCAGGGCCTGATGACCACACACAGATGTGTTCCTAAAATAAAAACAAAGATATTTGCCAAAACCGATGGGTCAAAATTGTTGTTTTTAAATTCCCTTTAGTACGAGTTAAGTTTCAAATCATGGAAATTGGGCGTCCACTCTTATATACAAACTGTGAATTTGTCTTCCACTCTCACATACAAACTGTGAATTTGTCTTCCTTTCTTAAGTACAAACTGTGAATTTGTCTTCCACTCTTACATACAAACTGTGAATTTGTCTTCCACTCTAACATTAAAACTGTGAATTTGTCTTCCACTCTCACATACAAACTGTGAATTTGTCTTCCTTTCTTAAATGCAAACTGTGAATTTAACTTCCACTCTCACATACAAACAGTGAATTTGTCTTCCACTCTTACATAAAAACTGTGAATTTGTCTTCCTTTCTTAAATACAAACTGTGAATTTGTCGTCCACTCTCACATACAAACTGTGAATTTGTCCTCCACTCTCACATACAAACTGTGAATTTGTCTTCCTTTCTTAAATACAAACTGTGAATTTGTCTTCCACTCTCACATACAAACTGTGAATTTTTCTTCCACTCTTACATAAAAACTGTGAATTTGTCTTCCTTTCTTAAAAACAAACTGTGAATTTGTCTTCCTTTCTTAAAAACAAACTGTGAATTTGTCTTCCATTCTCACATACAAACTGTGAATTTGTCTTCCACTCTCACATACAAACTGTGAATTTGTCTTCCTTTCTTAAATACAAACTGTAAATTTGTCTTCCATTCTCACATACAAACTGTGAATTTGTCTTCCACTCTCACATACACACTGGGAATTTGTCTTCCTTTCTTAAATACAAACTGTGAATTTGTCTTCCACTCGCACATACAAACTGTGAATTTGTCTTCCACTCTCACATACAAACTGTGTATTTGTCTTCCACTCATATAAACAAACTGTGAATTTGTCTTCCACTCTTACATACACACTGGGAATTTGTCTTCCTTTCTTAAATACAAACTGTGAATTTGTCTTCCACTCTCACATACAAACTGTGAATTTGTCTTCCACTCTCACATACAAACTGTGAATTTGTCTTCCAGTCACACATACAAACTGTGAATTTGTCTTCCACACTCACATACAAACTGTGAATTTGTCTTCCACTCTCGCATACAAACTGTGAATTTAACTTCCACTCTCACATACAAACTGTGAATTTGTCTTCCACTTGATGCTTCACATCAAGCCAGCTGCGACCGTTCACATTCAACAAATCGAAGCTGATCAAATGCTTAGAGACAGTCTTTGGTGTCGGTCATTTTTTACTCGACACATTTACGATTTTTTACCTGATTTTTTTTTTTTTTAAATCAGTAAATCGACAATCCGTCAGACTATAAGGTATGTCAGCTGTCAAAAATTACTAGAATGTATGTCACACCAGACTTGGATGTATTTCACACCAGAATAGGATGCATGGCACACCAGACTAGGGTGGGTAGCAAATATTAGCGCTCAAATATATTTGGAAAATGAACAAAAAATTCTAACAAGAAGTCACAGAAATACATGATTTGTTATTGTTAATAAAACTAATCATTTTATAATAGTGTTAACGAACAAAGATGTAATTTAAGGATAAAGTTGAAAGCTTGGATTTGCCATTAAAGCATGAATGTGGGATAGAGCAACGAATGGACTATTGAAAGGGGACAGCAAACACACAATATTTAATTCTAGACAAGGGTTTCCAACCTGGGCTGCTCGTACACAAAGGATGCGAGGTGGCACATCAAGGGGTTGGAGGTGGCACATCAAGGGGTTGAAGGTGGCACAGCAAGTGGCGGGAGATGCCACATCCAGTAGTGGGAGAATGCCACATCAACCGGTGCGAGGAAAAGGAATTGCAAGAAGAGACATTATCTTTTAGCTATGATATAAAGTATAAACGTGAATACATTTTTTAAACACTACGAATTTCAATCAATAATGCAGAAGTCCATTATTTTCACTGTTGCTTTTGTGGGAGATGCGGGGCTAGTTAAATATTTCATGAGGCCTTCGAGACGAGTTTAATAATTCGTAAGGTCTGAGAGATATAGAAACGATATCGAATCACTGTTCTAGACCGAATGGAGACTAATAGAAAAACATTTCGACAGTTTTATCTGCTGCAACAGGTTTGATATGAATGTCAACAACTCAAACATTATTTTTGATAGCCATAAACAAATTTTTCTTAGAGTAACAACACACATTTGTCATTGAAATCACCCACTATGAAGTAATTTAATTGTTAATGTTGTTTTTGTTTTTTTTCGTCCTCACCAGTCCAAGGTTGGATGTCCCCTCAATGGCTCTCATTTTGGGAGTTATCTAACCTACTACGCTGGTAGCTGTTACTTCGCCTTGGTTGTGTCCATAGTGTTCCAGCTCATCTATTGTGTATTTCGTCTGATCTCGACCCTGTTGTTGAATTTAGGAATCCTCGGAAATCAGTAAGTTTGTATTCAAAGGTTATATTAAATGAGTAATAAGTGTGTGATTTGCGATACTCCTGCAGTCAACCTAAAACATAGTACAGCACAAAACATAATACAATATACAAAATAGTACATGGCAAAACTTGGTACATTACATAACTTGGTACAAGCACAACTTGGTGCAGTACATAACTTGGTACAAGCACAACTTGGCGCAGTACATAACATGGTACAAGCGCAACTTGGTACAGTACATAACTTGGTACAAGCACAACTTGGTACAAGCACAACTTGGTACAGTACATAACTTGGTACAAGCACAACTTGGTACAGTACATAACTTGGTACAAGCACAACTTGGTACAGTACATAACTTGGTACGTATCCAGAAATTTGAACGAAATAGATTTTGAAGACGATAAATTGATCCACGGTAATTTGATCGAACGGAAATTTGGTCGAACATTTTTTTCTTCAGATTTACGTTAAAATTTTGCTTCTAATTTCTTTTTGAACGCATTATTTTGTTTTACTATATGGTATAGTGCGTTCAAAAAGAAATTTGGAAAAAATTTTAACGTGTGAAGTGAAAAAAAAGGTTTGACTAAATTTCTGTTCGATCAAATTACTGTCGATCAATTTACCGTCGACGAAATTTCTTTCGATCAAATTTCCGTTAACTAACTTGGTACAGTGCATAACTTGTTACAATGCAAAAACTTGGTACAGTACATAACGTGGTAAAATGCAAAACTTGTTACCGTACATAGCTTGGTACAATGCTAAAATTGACAAAGTACATAGCTTGGTACAGTACATAAATTGTTACAATGCAAACTTGGTACAATGCAAAATTTGGTAAAATTCAAAATTTGGTACAATGCAAAACTTGTTGCAATGGAAAACTTGATACAGTACATAATTTGTTACAGTACATATTTTGGTACAATACATAACCTGTTACAATGCAAAACAAAGAACAACAACAAAATTTTAAACGCATTCATTTTTGTTTATAGAGGCCCCAAGTGGATACATTGGGGGTTTACTGTAGCTCCTGGATGAACACTCGTGGATAACCCCATTTAGAACTACTGACTTAATCTTTCCTTTCCAGACTGTTCATCTACGGGCCAAACTTCCAGGTGATGTACGTCATCTTTGAGATGATTGTGACACTTTTCATCTTCATCTCAGCGTGCACCCTCTCGGCCGGCGTCAACACAACATGCAACATACTGTAGTGAGTACCTGATGACGTAGTGCATGTTGAGTGCTCAGTGTCCACAGCTGATGGCCAAACCAGTGATAGAAAATAGGCTTTTAGATATAATAAATAAGTGCTTGAAACACCAAAGTAAGAAAAAATAGACTTTTAGATATAACAAATAAGTGCTTGAAACACCAAAGTGATAGTCAATAGACTTTTAGATATAATAAATAAGTGCTTGAAGCACCAAAGTGATAGCAAATAGACTTTTAGACATAATAAATACGTGCTTGAAACACCAAAGTGATAGTAAATAGACTTTTAGATATAATAAATAAGTGCTTGAAGCACCAAAGTGATAGCAAATAGACTTTTACACATAATAAATACGTGCTTGAAACACCAAAGTGACAGTAAATAGACTTTAGATATAATAAATAAGTGCTTGAAACACCAAAGTGATAGCAAATAGACTTTTAGACATAATAAATACGTGCTTGAAGCACCAAAGTGACAATAAATAGAATTTTAGATATAACAATTAAGTGCTTGAAGCACCAAAGTGATAGCAAATAGACTTTTAGACATAATAAATACGTGCTTGAAGCACCAAAGTGACAGTAAATAGAATTTTAGATATAACAAATACGTGCTTGAAGCACCAAAGTGATAGCAAATAGACTTTTAGACATAAAAAATAAGTGCTTGAAACACCAAAGTGACAGTAAATAGACTTTTAGATATAATAAATACGTGCTTGAAGCACCAAAGTGATAGCAAATAGACTTTTAGATATAATAAATAAGTGCTTGAAACACCAAAGTGACAGTAAATAGACTTTAGATATAATAAATAAGTGCTTGTAACACCAAAGTGATAGCAAATAGACTTTTAGACATAAAAAATACGTGCTTGAAGCACCAAAGTGACAGTAAATAGAATTTTAGATATAACAAATAAGTGCTTGAAGCACCAAAGTGATAGCAAATAGACTTTTAGACATAATAAATACGTGCTTGAAGCACCAAAGTGACAGTAAATAGAATTTTAGATATAACAAATACGTGCTTGAAGCACCAAAGTGATAGCAAATAGACTTTTAGATATAATAAATACGTGCTTGAAGCACCAAAGTGATAGCAAATAGACTTTTAGACATAAAAAATACGTGCTTGAAACACCAAAGTGACAGTAAATAGACTTTTAGATATAACAAATACGTGCTTGAAGCACCAAAGTGATAGCAAATAGACTTTTAGATATAATAAATACGTGCTTGAAGCACCAAAGTGATAGCAAATAGACTTTTAGACATAAAAAATACGTGCTTGAAACACCAAAGTGACAGTAAATAGACTTTTAGATATAACAAATACGTGCTTGAAGCACCAAAGTGATAGCAAATAGACTTTTAGATATAATAAATACGTGCTTGAAGCACCAAAGTGATAGCAAATAGACTTTTAGACATAAAAAATACGTGCTTGAAACACCAAAGTGACAGTAAATAGACTTTTAGATATAACAAATACGTGCTTGAAGCACCAAAGTGATAGCAAATAGAATTTTAGATATAACAAATAAGTGCTTGAAGCACCAAAGTGATAGTAAATAGACTTTTAGATATAATAAATAAGTGCTTGAAGCACCAAAGTGATAGCAAATAGACTTTTAGATATAATAAATACGTGCTTGAAACACCAAAGTGATAGCAAATAGACTTTTAGATATAATAATAAATACGTGCTTGAAACACCAAAGTGATTGCAAATAGACTTTTAGATATAACAAATAAGTGCTTGAAACACCAATGTGATTGTAAATAGACTTTTAGATATAACAAATAAGTGCTTGAAACACCAATGTGATTGTAAATAGACTTTTAGATATAACAAATAAGTGCTTGAAACACCAATGTGATTGTAAATAGACTTTTAGATATAACAAATAAGTGCTTGAAACACCAATGTGATTGTAAATAGACTTTTAGATATAACAAATAAGTGCTTGAAACACCAATGTGATTGTAAATAGACTTTTAGACATAATAAATACGTGCTTGAAACACCAAAGAAACGTATGTCTTTTTTTCCGGGGAACTCCTCTAAAGCAATTTTCCCTACAAGTGAAAGACGAAAATTATTATTTATTTTTTAAAAACTATATTTACTCTTATTAGGACGATACCAGATCTTAACAAGTTAAGAAGACAAAATTAAACTGGTGGACAGCAATGTAAGCAAATACTAATGAACTATTGAGGTCACCTTAAGTTGTGTTGATGTAGTGTTTTGCCTCGATAATAGTTGATAGAAAGGTGAGGGAAGGCTGTTGGTAGTGGGGGTGGATCACTGTCACCCAAAACCCATGACGTATGATGCGTGCTCCACTGATCTGATGGGATTATAACTAAGTACATGTTATCATACCACCTTATCTTTGCCGTGTCCATAATACTTGTTAGTTGTACCCAGAGCTGTGCGTGACTTATGTGGGCCCACTGCGCATTGTCTCTTTTTATTATCAAGTATTCAAAGCAATTTAAAACACTGCCTTTTAATTGTGTTCCACATCTCACATGTATACAAAGTCGATACTTAAATAACTGAGACGCCCCCCCCCACCCCCTTGGCCACCGAAGCGATGCGTCCACAGATCCAAATATTGTGTAGAGCATTGTTTCATTCTGTGTGTCATGACGTGATATGCATCAAGGTTGCTGTTGTAGTGTGTCGTGATGTACATCAGGTTGCTGTTGTAGTGTGTCGTGATGTGAATTAAGGTTTTATGTTGTAGTGTGTCGGGGTGCATGCTATATCAACGTTGCTGTTGTAGTGTGTCGTGATGTGATATGAATCAAGGTTGCTGTTAGTGTGTCGTGATGCACATCAAGGTTGATGTTGTAGTGTGCCGTGGTGTGTGCTGCATCAAGGTTGCTGTTGTAGTGTGTCGTGATGTACATCAAGCTTGATGTTGTAGTGTGTCGTGATGTAAATCAAGCTTGATGTTGTAGTGTGTCGTGATGTACATCAAGCTTGATGTTGTAGTGTGTCGCGGTGTGTGGTGCATCAAGGCTGCTGTTGTCGTGTGTCGTGACGTGATATGCATCAAGGTTGATATTGTAGAGTGTCGTGATGTACATCAAGTTTGCTGTTGTTGTGTGTCGTGTACATCAATGCTGTTGTTTTGTGTGTCGTGATGTATATCAAGGTTGCACTTGTAGTGTATGGTGATGTGATATGCATCAATGTTGCTGTTGTAGTGTGTCGTGATGTTGTAAGTAATTCTGTTTTGTTTGTTTCAGCTGCACAAACCAAAGCTGGTACTCGGCTGCTAAAGCTGCTCAGGTCAGGTGTTGGTAGAATAGTGTACAGTAATGTACTGTAGTGTACTGTGATGTACTGTAATGTACTGTAGTTTACTAACGATCCACTTAACCTACTTGAGTATTATAGTACAGTGGTCTGATAATTGGGGGTCCGTCCAAATAATATTTGAGGTTGCAAGAGTTGATCTGCTTGATAACGAGACGCCCGCACTCGTACACTTGCTGTAGGGCCTTCCGGTGGTGGATTTAGTTTGGGCGGCAAGCTCTCATCTTTGGTAAAAAAAATGTTACATTATTTTGATTTATTTTTTTTTTACAACACAGACAGTCCCCCCCCCACACACACACACACACATCTGGGGGGGGGGGCGGAAGGCTATTAAAAAAGAGAGATTATTTTAGCTTTGCATCGCAACAAGCAAGGATCGAATTTGAAAGTGCTCACACAAACTCAAATCAACCGCCCCTTAGTTGGTTATTTTGTTACCGTTTGTTAAAAAATATATCTTTGTTTACTATTCAATTGAGATATATTTGTATGCCTTTATTTTAATTGGTGTGTATGATGGTAGATATGTTGGTATTTTAATTCAACTTTTTATTTGATGTGTAAATGAGTTGCGTCTTAAATTTTCTTCCGAGAAAACATGTATGTTATAAGTGTATATTTAATTTTACAATAATCAATATTGGGACCGCTGGGACTACCAATAAAATGTTTAAGTGTAAGTTGTTTTTTTTTTTATATCATCTCCATCCAGTGTTAGTGAATGAATTTTTATGTGATAGTTTTATTGAATTGTATCTAAATTTTTATATACAAAATGAAAGCATTGAATGGTTGTTTGTATTTTACAGGCTGGGGCGTGGCTGAGTACGTTAATTTACGTTACTGCGGACATTGTCGGAGTTTTGTTCTTGAGGCGAACCAACGCCTTGCCTTGTGGGCGCTCAGCGAGCACGCCGGAAGTTACGTTCACAGCAGCTTCTGGTCACCATGACGTTGTGGTCGCTGGCGCGGTGGGCTATCCGAATGCTTCAGGGGCGTATTTTTATTCAGGTTACCCTAATCCGGAGGCTTATCCAGTCGAGGGATCGCCTAATAAAACCGGTTACCCCATTGACCGAGCCCATTCGGACTACTCCACGCCGGGTCAACATTTTGTACCCATTTCATTGGACGACCCGCCCCCTCGATACGATGATGTCGTCAAACAGGAAACATCAACTGGACAACAATGACACGAACGATTTTTATATTTTAAGCGGTTTTTAATTTTTTTATGAATGACATGCATAGTTTGATCGATAATGTCTCTTTCTGTAAACACAAATTATGATCATAAAAAATGTTCAAAACTTTACATGAATTTTTTGGGGTCAGTTTTTGTCTTTCAGTAAGAATTGTATCTTGCTCAACACGTTTCCCATTGACATCAATGTTTGCATTCGATAAGTGATTTTTTTTTTAAACTGAGATTTTGGCAACAAACCAAAGATAATATTTCATTGGATAATAGACACGTTGGCCTTATAACTTACCTTTAAAAAAAAAAAGTAAGTTAATATTTGGTCAAACGTGAAACGGTAACAGTTTTGTTTACGGTCACACTTAGACGATTGATGCAAAAGGGAGTAGAGACAGACAGAGCGCAGTTTGATCTTGGCCATTTTCATTTTAGTAACCATTGTGGCAAACAGTTTAACCCTGCTCTGGTACCATGGGGTCATGGGGTCTATTTGACCCCAGCCCTCCTTGGGCGGTGTTTCTTTTGTTAAAACTATGACGAGTAGTGACCTCGCCTGCCACGTATTTTATCCTAAGGCCTTCCTAAGTACGTGACACATGTTCAATAGTTTCAAAGTATTTCCAATTATCTATTATTTAGGTTTATTTTCGCTTGGGGTCAAATTGACCCCATAGTTCCCTCAATGTACTGAATGTATTTTGTTTCCTTATTTCAACATTCTGTGACATTTTGCAAATGCAATAATGTGAAATATTTATTTGGATTTTATAACACAATGTCATACCATAGTATGTCAAGGAAAACAAAAAATTCGAATAAAGTGCTGTTATTCTCGTGATATAGCATGTTTTTCTCCATGGGGTCAAACTGACCCCAAAGTACCAAATGTGTGACTTTTTTCATGGCACCAGAGCAGGGTTAAGAAACATGAACCACGTGTTTAACAGAAACTTTCATATGTGAAATAAAAATATTTAACAGAAGACATAATTGCCGATGTTTTGACATGCATTCTATATTAGGCCTACATATTGTTTAATAGGCCTTCATATTGTTTAACAGGCCTACATATTGTTTAATAGGCCTACTGATTGTTTAATAAGCCTGCTGATTGTTTGATAGGCCTGCTGGATAATTAATAGACCTACTGATTGTTTAATAGGCCTGCTGATTGTTTGATAGGCCTGCTGGATAATTAATAGACCTACTGATTGTTTAATAGACTTACTGATTGTTTAATAGGCCTGCTGGATAATTAATAGACCTACTGATTGTTTAATAGACCTACTGATTGTTTAATAGACCTACTGATTGTTTAATAGACCTACTGATTGTTTAATAGACCTACTGATTGTTTAATAGGCCTGCTGATTGTTTGATAGGCCTGCTGGATAATTAATAGACCCACTGATTGTTTAATAGGCCTAAGATCATTAAAAGAACTAACAGGCCAACCATAAAAAGAATTGTTAACTTCTCACAATTGAGATTATAAAAATAATAGAGGTTTTTTTCATATTTGTCTTTATTGCGATGCGAGCGAAACAGAGCGTGTATTATTAGTATTATATTTCATTTCAAGCATTGCCTTGAGCTCAAATTATGGAAGGTATTTATTTTTGGCTTTTAAACCTTGAAAATGCTTTCCTTCAACAAGTTTATTTGTGGGGGGGAGGTGGGATTTGAGGCATTTAGTGGTACAGGACATATATCAGTGTTAAAATCAGGGATTATAACGCACATAACGCCTCTGACTCTGGCGCCCCCAGAATATATAAACATTAATTCATTTCGGATGTCACATCCGATGGCATTATACTTTTGACCTCAGCATAGTTTCCCCTTGGAATCTACAGAGTATAACAGTATGGGCCAATATAAAAGAAACTCATGCATTTCAATTCAAGAAAGCTTTGTCTTTGTCCCTTTGATCGGGGTGGGGGGGGGGGCAGAAATCTTGGGCGCCGAAAGCTGCCGAGGGAAAGTGTGGGCGAGGCTCTCCCACAGAAATTGTTTTACAAATTAAAAATGCTGAGCTACACTTTAGCGCAAACCGGAAATCAGTTTTCCCATCATTCAACACTCATCTGGAGAGCACCAGTGGACATTCAGATTCCCTTTGACCTGATTGTGCTAAAAAACAAAAAAAAATCCATTATTTTTAGTTGTTTTGAAACAATAATGTTGTTTTTATAAGTCTAATGTAGTTACTCGTTAAAACTACTTCATCATTAAATGAATTTAACTATTTTTAACAACACTATTTCCATCCAAAAAACTTCTAAAAATAATAAAAATTGTCCGTTGTGAGCATACAAGAGTGATTGCAAGACAGTTGTGGGAACTCATATGTCCATGATTAAATGATCTGTATCACAACAGTTGCGTCCCATCATATAAACTTGCAGCAATGCGAACGCGTGCATGTGTCCAACATTTTATTTGTCAAGTCACACGACATCACTGTATGCCATGGGTGCCCAACGCTTTCTTTTTTAGTCATATGACTGTAACAAACCTGAAGTCATATGACTGTAACAACTCTAAAGTCATATGACTGTAAAAACTCTGAAGTCATATGACTTCAACAACTCTGAAGTCATATGACTGTAACAACTATGAAGTCATATGACTGTAAAAAAACCTGAAGTCATATGACTGTAACAACTCTGAAGTATTTGGGGACATTTATTTGATACTTTTCCGCACATTTTTTAGAAAAAGAGTGTTTTTTGTTTTTGTTTTTTTTAAAGTTTTTTTTTTAAACAAAAAAAGTTTGTATGTTATATTTTTGAATCTTTCAAGATGTTAAAGGAGATCAGGAAGTGGGCTGGTTGAAACATGACTAAAAGAGTGTGTAGTGCCCATGTGAAACCCCCCCCCCCCGACGTCCCGATCACTTACCGTTTCTGAGATATCCGCAGACGGTCATTCAAGGGCAAGTGGGGGTCACTGGTGACCAACAGATCATGAAGGGTCGTATGGGTCATGAAGGGGTGGGTAAGGGTATAACAAGTGTCAGCTGAATGGGACATCAGTGAGTGGGTCAACATTGGGGGTCACTCAAGTGACCTATTGGTCGTGGACGGTTGTATGGTCAGGGGGGGGGTCGGTAATGTTTACCAACGTTCATCTGACTTGGACCTCAGGGGGTGTGTCAAAATTGAGATGAAAGATTAAACCACCAACAAGAAACAATTCAATAAAAAGTCTAAAACGCCCGTTCACGTTATCGTGATAACTTTTATGACGTCATCAATACATGTGTGATCCAACTTTTTAGGTGTGATGTTCAAAAACAAATTAATCAACAAGTATATTTTTTATTTTCGAACCATTCAATTTTTCTTTTTTCTGACATCGTTCATTTTTCTCATTCATGGATTCAACACACAAAAATCATACGATTTACAGCTATATTTCCCACCTCACCCAAGATATGTAATTAAAGTATTAAAACTAGCTATGAGTAAATATGGTCGTTTCTTAAAGGCCAGATTCATACAAAATGGATGTACATGTGTCAAAGTTGCTCTTTAACTTTCATAGGTAGTCTTTCCGCAAACGTCACATTCAAACAAAAGAAATTGCTAGTTAACTTTCATAGGTAGTCTTTCCACAACCATGGCATTCAAAGATAAGAAGAGGCCAGTTAACTTTGATTGGTGGACTTTCCCCAAACGTGCCATTCAAACAAAAGGAATGCCTAGTTAAATTTCATTGCTAGACTTTCCACACTGGTGCCATTACACAGCGTTATTAGAATGACCGTCATGACCTAAAGTGCTATACATCTTCTATACAATGTGCTTTTTTTAACCAAACATTTTGATTTTAGTCAACATTTCTATGTCACATAACACATGCCTCTTACAAAACATTACTGTCACATAACACATGCCTCTTACAAAACATTACTGTCACATAACACATGCCTCTTATAAAACATTTCTGTCACATAACACATGCCTCTTATAAAACATTTCTGTCACATAACACATGCCTCTTACAAAACATTACTGTCACATAACACATGCCTCTTATAAAACATTTCTGTCACATAACACATGCCTCTTATAAAACATTTCTGTCACATAACACATGCCTCTTATAAAACATTTCTGTCACATAACACATGCCTCTTATAAAACATTTCTGTCACATACCACATGTCTCTTACAAATCATTGTTATCTAACATAACATTAATTTTTAAATTACAAAACTTTTCAATTTTATACAGCCTAAGTCTTCTCATTTACACAACTTTGCTCATTTACACAACGTTGCTCATTTACACAACGTTGCTCATTTACACAACTTTGCTCATTTACACAACGTTGGTCATTTACACAACGTTGCTCATTTACACAACTTTGCTCATTTACACAACGTTGGTCATTTACACAACGTTGCTCATTTACACAACGTTGCTCATTTACACAACTTTGCTCATTTACACAACGTTGCTCATTTACACAACGTTGGTCATTTACACAACGTTGGTCATTTACACAACTTTGATCATTTACACAACGTTGCTCATTTACACAACTTTGCTCATTTACACAACGTTGGTCATTTACACAACGTTGCTCATTTACACAACTTTGCTCATTTACACAACGTTGGTCATTTACACAACGTTGCTCATTTACACAACGTTGCTCATTTACACAACTTTGCTCATTTACACAACGTTGCTCATTTACACAACTTTGCTCATTTACAAAACGTTGGTCATTTACACAACGTTGCTCATTTACACAACGTTGGTCATTTACACAACGTTGCTCATTTACACAACGTTGCTCATTTACACAACTGTGCTCATTTACACAACTGTGCTCATTGACATATTATAGCATTGAACATGTACACAATATAACTTCTCATTTACGCAGCATTATTATTTGAAATAGCATTGATCTTGAGATCAAAGTTGCAGTTCACAAAGCACCGGTGCAGGCCGCACAGATCCAGTTTCTAAAATTCGTTCATAAGTCTTCATACGGGTTTTCTAGCGAGATTGTTGACAAAGGGGGCGGAACTTCTTCATCTTTTGTTTTGGCGTCTGCAGAAGGAGTTGGTGCCCTTTTGAAACACAGAATGCCACCCTCCCTCCAAATGTGCAGGAAGCCGATGAGTACAAGGAACAGCCAGAAGCACGTACCGAGCCACGCGCCAGCCTGGTCATGAAATGGTTAGAAGACAATTAAAATAAATGAAGAGGCTAGTGGCATTCTTATCTCACTTACTGGAAGGGGCCGAAGGAGCAAACTTTAGGGCGTAATCTTAAAAGGGTTTTTTTTAAGCTCAAATTGTTTGCTAAAATCAACTACCGATATCACAATTGTTCAAAAGATTTTTTCCACACATTTAATTTTTAGCAGCTTAACAATTGTAAATTAAATCATTTCATTTCCATTCATGATGAGTTTATTAGAATGGATTTTGGTTGCTTAAAAAAAAAACAACTTCATTTGTTTAGAAAGAAAGCGAATTCGGGGTTGTCAGCGTCGTTTAGCGAAGAGAAAGTCCTAAGACTATTAATGTTTAAGAACCGTTGTGTTATGACCTAAGCTATGCACATTGCATAACATGGTGTGCTAAACTCTAAATGGTATACGTTGTGTTATGACCGAAGCTGGGCACATTGCATAACATGATGTGCTAAACTCTAAATGGTATACGTTGTGTTATGACCGAAGCTGGGCACATTGCATAACACGATCTGCTAAACTCTAAATGGCTTACGTACCTGAGCAGACCTAGAAGAATGGACCCAAGGCCGATCTCCACAAACTTTTCTGTTATAGGTTGAAAAATAAAATAGTTTAAGGTAATGGAAACCCTAAATGCTCTCAAACGTTTAAGACCAAATAGACCCCTTGCAGGGGAAAAAAACATACTGGAGCCCTCTTAATTACTGATAATGAGAAATAATTTTTAAAGATATAATAGCACCTAGCTGAAAATTATTATCTGAGAGGGCAGCATAATTCTTTGGCTGCTCTCTCGGATACTTTTTTTCAGCTAAGCGCTGTTTAAAACAATTTAATTCTTTTTTTACTATTGTTTGTACGCTGATGAAGGCTTCTTGCCGACACGTTCATTGTTTGGTTGAGTTCCTTTTTTTTCTCCTTAGGTTTTCCCATACCGTACTTTGTTTCTATTATTACCCCTTGTTTTAGCCCACTAAAGCAGTTTACAACAGCTTTCACGCTGTCTCCAAAATATGCACGGTTTGATTTCCCTTGAGTTCCACTTGACGTCTGCTTAACTTGGATCGATCGGTGAGAATCTTGATTGATTATTTTTTTAAAAGACGATATAACTTCATGCAGATACACGCAGTTATAGATTTGAGGTCAACTTACCCTATTCGGTCACATGTATAATTGTGTCCAGCTGACAGAATGCAGGCACTGATGAATGTTGTCAACAACCCCAAGGCATCAACACCCCAATGAACCAGGTCCACAAGTTTGAAATGTGTTGAGAACCTGCAAATAAATCAGAAGAGATGAGGGTACAGCGCTAGAAATAACTTTTTTTAAAACACCATGCCCGTG